TCAACACCTGCAAGAACAGAAAGAAGAGGAAATCAAAGACCTACTACAAGAAGTTGAGAGAATGAAGAATAAATCCAGCTGTAACATTCTGTGATGGTCACCTTTCCTGTTTATACAGTAACTATTGCTTTCTATTAGTAATGTCAAATCAGATTTCTGTTGTTGTGCTGCTATAAATATCTCCCCATCTGATAGTCCTTTTTAAATGAGTTGTTAGTTGAGACATGCTGTTGTATTTTTACAAATTAACAAAAACCACATTTGATATACTAGACAATACCATAATACATATACTACACAGTGATTAATATATTTTAATAAAATAATTAAAAACTCTTAACACCCCTACTTCTAATCTGTGTACTTCCAAAAACTAATGAAAGTTGCTTTTGAAAAAATACTTTGGTAGATTATTTTGGGATTTGCCCCAGTTTTTTTGTGTGACCTGTGTATGTAGTGGAGTCAGAAGATTCAATGTAAGTGTTTACTGAAAAGTTATGTACATGGTATTTTACATTTTGAGGTAAATATGATGACATTCTAATTAAAGTTTGAGTCTAACAGGCCAAGTGTCTGAGACATTAAACTCTTGTCTTCATGTACTTCCGGATCATCAGCAAGGTCCCAATTACTGTGCAGTTGTCTCTATGAAGTTCAGGACAATAATGCCAGGCTGATTAGATTAGCAGCACCTATGCATTTAAATTGGTTCTGTTATGCTACTGAGATCATGACCACGACTCAGTCCTATACTTCATTTGCATGCTTTAAGATTTGTCTCCACCTCTATGTATCAGAAACCCCTAAATATATTTCAAAAGTTCACAATTAGCTGATGATTGATTACAAATCATGTTTGACATGCTGTCTTGAGAGAATCCCTGAGCTCATAAGAGCTGGTCTCGCATTAGTAAACACATGATTCTCCAATGAGATATTTCTTAACTAACCATAAATACCCATACATATGAACTTCTGATTTCAGAGACGATTTTCTCAGAGACGATTATTTTCTCAAGCCTGGGGCTCCCTCCCATTTGGAAGGTGAGAGGGGAGTTTGAGCTCAGGTAGATATTGAGAACTCCCCTGGCTTATTATGGCTAATGGCAAATTAGACACTGCAATAGAGAAATATACAGCTGACTAAGAGCTCATCTATGATGCCACTTTGGTTTGGTCAATTCACTTATATCTCATGTCTTTGCACTGTGGGAGGAACCCAGGGCAAGCCCACACAAGCATGGGGCGAATGTGAAGTCTGCACAGAAGCGTCAACTGGCCTAGTAAGGACCTGATCCAGTGACGTTCTTGCTGTGCTAACAGTGCTAACCACTCGGCCATCATGATTCCCTATCTAGAAAAGGGAGGAGTAAGGGTGGGACCGTGGTTTCTTCAAGACCACCCTCTGAAATAAGAAATACATATGTATGGGTATTTATGGCAAGTTAAGAAACATCTGATTGGAGAATCATGTGTTAGCTAATGCGGGACCAGCTGTGGTCAATCATGAATTATGAATAAACGTCACATAATATACAGGGTAACACTGCACTTGATAAACTTCTCTAGGACTTCGCTCAGATTTTTCTTCGACTTCTCTAAAGCCCTGCCCACACTGTGGGATTTCAGCTCCGATTAGGTCATCTGAGAAAAATTTGGAAAATCCTAAAAAATTCCTAAAATTCTAGACTAAAATCTGTGATCATTGGTTTGACATGTTCATAGACAGCCATTTAATGGTGGTTGTGATCAGATTTTCCCTCAAATGAAGTTCTGGTAGTGTTTCAGACACTTTCCTGCACTGCAACAGCAGATACGATGAGGATGAAATCAAGAACTTATGGGGACATTGAATATGATGATGCAATCAGCATGACAACTTTAAACCTGTTCAACGGTCAAGTACACTGTGTGCAGCTACACGTTGTTTATGTTTGCTCTAAGGTTTATTTCAAAACACAGAATAGTAAAAGTGTCATGGATGGACGACATCAATCAGGTAAGTTTTCTTCCTCCTTTGATGTGTTTTTATTGTCATTCAGTCTGACATTATGAACGCTGAGATCTTGTGTGTCAGGAAAAACATGTTCATGCAGTTTGACTTTCTACAATCATTTAGGATTATTGAAAATAAAATGTGAGCTGGGTTTTAGACCTTGTTAGTCTAATTGGTCACACTTATTTTAGACATCTTGTTAGACTACTTACTCAGACTTCTCTTAGACTTCTGTTAATCTTCTCTTCTCTAATTTCAACTGGGGATACTCATCCCAAGACCTCTAGAGACTGTGCAGCACCATTAATGTAATCCAAGTTCTGTGAAGAGATGATGCCAACCATAGAGGACTTCTAGAGCTCTTCGTAATCCTGGACCAGGCCTTATCCTGAGCAGATGCTGTGGTGGTCTTAGAGTGCAGAAAGTGAGACTGATTCCTGAAAGACCCCAGTGATAGAGAAGTCCGCACTGATCTCGTGGCCCAGACTGTGCACCCCGGTGACCTACTCACACCTGCAGCTTCTCCATGATGGAGGTCCAGGGTTCTTCAGCCTCTGGTGCATAGACTGGATAATCAGAAACATGTATTGTTCTCTGATGAGTCCACCTTCACCATCTTGCCCACATCCAGGAGAGTTATGGTGTAGAGATGCCCAGAATAACGCATGGGAATGGATGGTTTGTGCTGTTATAACATGGCATTTCTTAGGCCCAATACTTGTGTTAGATATGTGCGTCACAGCTAAGAATGACTGAACCATTCCGGAGGACCATGTGCACCCAAAGGGTCAAACATTATATCCTGAAGGCAGTCCTGTGTATCAGGATAATGCACCAACACACAGCAAAACTGGTGACAGAGTGATTTGATGAACATGAAAGTGAAGTCGAACATCTCCTATGTCACGGTCACTAAATCTAAATATTGAGCCACTCTAGGATGTTTTGGAGGAGGAGATGTTTTCCTTCATCAGCATCTCGTAGTGACCTGAACACTATTCTGACAAAAGAATGGATCAAAATCCCTCTAGCCACTGTGCAGGACTTATATCTGGCATTCCCAGACAAACTAATGCTGTCTTGGCCTCAAAAGGAGGCCCTCCACCATACTAATGAATTTTGTGGTCTAAAACCAGGTGTTTCAGTTTCATTGTCCAACCCCTGTAGTTACCTGATTGTGATATATGCATTATAAAATATCAGCATATATCTGTTGCCCATGGAAGAGGAGGGAAAAACACAGCCATATCACCCTGCCCAAAACCACTTACTTACTGAAGCTAAGCAGGGCTGAGCCTGGTCAGTACCTGGATGGGAGACCACATGGAAATTCTAGGCTGCTGTTGGAAGTGGTGTTAGTGAGACCAGCAGGGGGCGTTCAACCTGCAGCCTGTCCTAATGCCCCATTAAAAGTGAAGGAGACACTATGTCTTTCGAGTGAGACGTTAAACCGAAGTCCTGACTCTCTGTGGTCATTAATAATCCCATGGTACTTATCGTAAAGAGTAGGGGTGTAACAGGTGTCCTGGCCAAAGGCTCCCAATCGGCCCTTACGATCACGGCCATCCACTGAATAGGATAACAGTGCCAGTGCTCTAACCACTCACAAGCTATAGGGAGAGGAGAGACAGTGATAGAGCCTGTGGCTGCCGTCGCATCCTCCTGTGAAGCGCTTTGTGTGTATGACCATACAGGACAAATGCGCTATATAAATACACATTACAGTACATTACATTATAACATGTACCCAGAAAACACACACTTTTTAATTTAATATTTTATTATAAGAGCAAAAACGCACACCTTCAAAAATCAATCACACTTGATTAAGATTAAGTGCAAATAAAATGTAATTAGATCTTGAAATATATTGTAAGATCATCTACAGATGTTTTTGTGAATGTTGGTGGTCAATTACTAATGTTTTCTTAATATTAACGCACATAGGCTACACAAATACTATCTATTTTAATATTAATTTAATTGATTTATTTAGCTTTTTAGTGAGTGTGTAGCTAAAGTCTCTTTTGGGAAGTTATTAGTTAATAATTTAAAAGTATAAAGTTATTAAAAATAAAAATATTAGAACGGGTTAGAAAAATATCTTACCAGGAAAAGCATTCATTGTAGGTAAAGATTATATATATATATATATATATATATATATATATATATATATATATATATATATATATATATATTTATTTATTTATTTATTTATTTATTTATTTTTTTTTTTTTTAGAAATTGAGATGTAGTACATTGTTGTTGTTTTGTCTCTGCATATGAGTTGTAATACACCAACTTGTTTATGTATTGACATTCTCATATCGACCTTAATCTAATTAAAAATGTTTACGTTTCACTTTGCTAAACAACATTTTAACAAGTGTTCAACATGCCTCTTCATGGCGTTTGGTTTGGTGTGATCATAAATTTCTGGAGGCTCATAATAACACTGTGCTGCCTCCCTCTACTGGACGCTTCAGGAATAACAGAGCCGTAAACTGTCTAGATCTGCCAAGTGTGCAGTCTCTGTGCTCGTCTTCGTCCCGCCTCAAGAGGGCGCAGGTGAGTTTATTCTGCGCGTGCACGTTTAGTCATTTGAGCGTCTTTATGGCAAGCCGCTTCAGTTTCACTTTAACATGTTCCCAGTGTTTGTTGTCCTAAATGTATTTTTATGATCTGATTATTGTTTTTTTGACAACTGTATTGGTCCTCTGTGTATATTGGGGGCATGTTAAAACCAAGAATGTTGTGTAACGTAATATTTTGTATGTTGTATGTAATTTGAGATATGGCAATTCCAGTAGTTAATTATTATTTTTTTATATGTAGCAAATGTCATATATTTTATGTGGAATCCGTATGTAGTTTGAATATGGCACATATCAAGTTTATATTTATTATAATGTCATGGAATTTGTAGTGGAAACTGCTGTTTGTTGTTTAGCACGAATGACGATGATCATGTTAAGCTAAATCCGCTTGCCATAGACTTTCACTTATTTTAGGATCGTAACGGAGTTATAATGGCAGAGAGTCCGTGTAAGTTTTGAATTCAACTAACCAATCAAGATGTGTACTAACACGTTTAATGTCACCATAAAAGTAATATCTAGCTTAAGTCGGAATAAACTGTAAAGCTGTTTTAGTCAGTTTGTTGTGTTGTTTTGCTGCCTGTGCTGTACAGAAATCTGACTCCGTCCGCGTGCACACGCGTCAGGTGGCGCCTTCTGTTAAACTCGGAGGAGTTTATCGGAAACTTTAATCGATAATTTTTCCTCAATTTACAGCAATAACGAGCACAGAAACGTGATCTGATTACCAGGGAACACTTAATGTGTTAAAAATGATTTAAAGCACCAAATTGTAAACACAGTTGGATTAATATCGCATGTTTGAAAGTAAAACTGAACATGATTACCTCATATTCTCTGATTATACCTTCAGTATGCATTAGAAGACGATGCTTTTGTAACACATAGCTCTGTCTACTGCTCTGTTGTTATATATTATCTTTAATTCATTTTATGTTCTAATATTTTTATTCTTTTATTAATTTAGCCTCTTAGTTCTACTTTTTTGTACAAACGTTTCATGGTTTAAATGACTTTTAAAAATTATTTAAAAAAATCAATACATAAAAAATGGCATGCATCTGTGTGCCAAACAAAGCCAAAAATGTGGATTCAGTACTATATATAAAAACAATGAGGCTGTCATAAAATAGCAAGGCTTGTGCATTATGGGGAATAACAGGGAGACCGGGTACAGTTGAAACACAGGGAGAGTTGTAACACTACCAATTTCACAAATCAGGGATGAGATGGGGTTCTTGTAACATTTTCAGTTTCCTCAGGTTAACTTAACAATCACACATGGAGATTTTTCAGTCAGTCTTGTAATCTCTTCTGAAGCTACAACAGAAAATTGAATTCTGAGCTAAATAAGTAAAAAAAAAAAAAAAAAAACAAGATATTTTGTTTAGTACCTCTGCCATTGTGGATGATGTTATACGAGTTATATCAGGTCAAACTGTAGTTTCTCTAGTAAATAATGGTGTATCAACCTCCTGCTAATTTCAAAGCACCGTAGTAATACAGCTAACAAACAATGGGTGACATTGGCGGGGTAGGTTGAAACGTGTTTTGAATGCATACAAACACTTACACACACACATAAATATGAATGTGCACATACAGACATGCACAAACAAATGCAATTGTGCATGCAAAACACACAGAATATGCACATACACTTCCAATATTCACAAATATTGTATTGTTGCAGTCATTTATTTACAATAAAACTGTTGTTGTGACATATCACTTGTAGTACCCTTAGTTTTTGTGCATTTTGTTTACCTGTTACAACTTACCCCAGTAAGTGTTACAACCAAGCAGCAACCTCCTGCTCTCTCTCAGGAAGCCAATACGGAAGTAACTAAAACTGCAATTCATCTGAAATTCCGCTAGTCCTGGCCGCTCCTGGCTCCAAAACAGAGCACAATTCAATTGAGCCCACTGTTAGACTGGCCAACTTTACATAAAAAAAAAGGTGTTTACAGCCTGCTACAAAAAAAGATTTTGGTTAATACAGCTAATATCACCCTTCATGACAACTGTGAGGGGGGTGAATTTTTTTTATAACTTATCTGTTTCCTTTATATTAAGTTATATTAAGTGTGCATAATTAAGGGCTAGATCTCGTTGGTCGCCGTCAAGTCACCTCATCTGAATCCTGCAGATTAGCCACTGAACTCGGCATATTTATCATATTTCTGTGTTGTTTTATGTGGCTTTACACAGTCAACTGCCTTTTGGACTTGTTTCCTACAATTATCATATGGCATGGCATGCTGAGTGCCCTTTAATTGTGCTCACAAACTATGCACGTGGCCTCCGTTTCCCATGTGAGTAAAGTTACATACTTATATACCATCTCTATACATGTATTTGTTTTATTTAAGATCATTTATCGTTTATATTTATATTTAGAGCTGTAATGCACTGCAGAATCTGTCATATTGATTAGCTGTAGGCTTTGTGCGTACCTTGGAATAAAATCCTGCAGGCACCTCTGCTACCCACTGCGCCACTATGACACCCCTTGTGTATTATATAGAATAATATTTTATAGTCACAGTTTAATTGATTTGAAACTGAATGTCTATGAATATTACACTTCAGATTAACTTTACCATGCTCCATTACAGATAGTTTATATTTTACTGTATTTCCAACTCTTTGTTAATGAATGCTCCAGCATACTGTAGTATTAACTGATAAACTGTAATAAATATTGTTTTATACTTTAGTTGTATAAACTGAATATAATATAATGTAAGAGCTGTAAAAACCATACCGCAATCCTATATTATAGATAACTACAGTATTGGGTCAGTTGTTTATATTACCATAGTTGTTGTGACACTATAACAAATAGAATCACCACAAAAGATTAAAGTCATTTACCATGGTTAAAAAACACCCCTGTATTTACTATAAATTACTATAGTATCTGTTCATATCAGGATTCAGTTCAGTGCAGTACAGTTTTATTGAGAATCAACATTGAATTGTTTTCTTAGTTTCGAATTCATTATTTTTTTGGTAATGCAAGCAATATAAAAACAATGAATCTGAAACTATTATTAAACTTAACTAATTTCGAGAGGTGCACGGGCTCATGATAAACCCAGCTGACCCACATATTAGCTAATTAAGATCCTCCAATCATATGATCTCAAGTCGTTATACATATCCTAATTTAGTCTGGATGAAACCCCACTCTTCCCCTTCTTCCACCTTTATCCAAAATGGATGGCACGGTGGCTCAGTGACAAGCACTGTTGCCTCACTGTAATGAATCGTCACCGAGATTGGGATCCATCGTGCAGTTTATTATAATCACAGTAATCAAACAATCGGCAGAGTAACAGAATCGTGGTCATAAACAGGCAAATGGTCAGGGCTGGCAGCAAGGGATTGTAGACGGTAAACAGGCAAGGTCACAACAGGAAAATCAAAGTAGAGTATAAACGCTCAGAAATGTCAACTGGTAGCAAACAAGACTTCGCAAAGAATGAAACAAACCAGTCTGCTTAAATAGATGGCGGAGTCATTTCAGCTGGGCCTGTAATCAAACCAACACGGGGTAGATGGGAAATGTAATAATGAGGTGATGTTGCCCTCTGCTGGTTAGAGGAGGGAATCACGGAGTTTGTCTCTGTGACACTTACAGCAAGAATACCTCTGGCTTCGAGCCCTCGCCTGGCCATTTGGTATTTTCTGTGCAGAGTTTGCATGTTCTCCGCGTGGGTATCCCCAAAACAATCTCACAGCAATTCGCAACTTTTTGATTTAGTGGCTTATTCGTATGAATTCGTACGATCTAATTCGTACAATTTAGTACAACTTGCACATCCCCCAATGACTTTAGGGGTTTAGGGGTGGGGTTAGATGACACGCCTCCTTTTTAAAATCGTACAATTTCGCAAGACTGAACTCATACGAATTTGTACGAATTAGCCTCTAAACTGGCAAAACGTAAAATACTTATGTTTTCTCGTGCGATCAGGCTGGTTTCCCGCGGTTTCCTCCTACCATACAAATATGCTCAATATCATAAACAAATTAATCTAAAGTCTCTTTTTCTAAGAGTCTTACTATCTGGAATTCACCTTAGCCTCAACAGCGGGGGAGTTTCAAGATCATCTCTTTCCTCTTTGCCCTTGGCCCGAGGATTCCTTGAGCTTAGGGCTCTCTCCCAGGACAACATGTCAAGCAAACTATTTATAAATCTTGAGCTAAGGGTGAACTCTTGAAAAAGACAATATAAACAACACAGAAAACATGCTCTGCATATTATAATGATTGTGTGTGTAGCCATCTCTCTCTCTCTCTCTCTCTCTGTAATGTAATGTAATATAATGTAATGTATGACTTTTGTTTCAGTGATTGCTGAACACCATGGCACTCCCAGAAGGAGATGGAGCATTGATATACCTCCTTTTTGTAAGTGTTTACATGACTTAAAAGAAAGAAAATGCAAATGTGTGGAAATTATGGACCGATTATGATTTAATGACTAGTCACTAGTGGATCCCCTTAATGTTTCATCAACTGGGACTTTGTATAAAGCCAATTATAAAGCCAATTGTGCTTTATGGATTTTGTTTTTAGCAACTGGCTATAGATAATGCAAACAGCTTTTCTGGATTTTTTAAAAATATTTCACCCATGTTTTACTTTCATAAATCTGTTTTAAATTATAGGTAAAAAATAGTTCTTACCAGTTTGATAATGCGCACACAGAAATCTGCGCTCTATGCTGAATTAGGTTCTCTTTCAACTAATGCAGCTTGAATGGTTTAAAATGAAATCAAAATACTTTAATCAAGATTGTAATTGAGTCTGGCTCGCCCAAACATGGTTTTAAAGCTCAAGGTCACATCACATGTATGCTGCTTTCTCAGTTATAAAAAACGCATTGCAAAAAAAAATGTTTTTATCTATTGTAGGTCCAGAGTGGGCCAAGCTCCTGATTGGGTGGCCACCCCCCCCCCTCCCCCAATACTCTAATGTTTTGCCTGCCAACGATCTACATTAAACACAATCAAAGTAATTTGCATAATTAAATATCTCATTTGCATAATCTCCACCATACACACTCCATTTCTCACAGCAGATGACCAATCAAACCAGCTGACCAATCAGAGCAGAGTCGGCTTATGCAGGGGTGAGGGGTTTATAGACCTTAAGAACTAAATTGACCTTAAACACATGATTTGTGTGTTTCAGATGCACTTTCTCTGAGGATTCTTCTTCTGGGTAAAAGTGTGTCTGAGAACAGCCGTGTGGGAAACTTGATCTTGGGTCGATCAGCGTTTGACAGTGAAGCTCCTCCAGATGTTGTGGAGAGAGTCGGAGGAAGACTGATAGACAGACACGTGACGCTCATCAACAGTCCTCAGCTGCTTCACACAAACATCTCAGATGATCAGATCACACAGACGGTTAGAGAGTGCGTGAGTCTGTCTGATCCAGGACCTCATGTCTTTATGATTGTATTGCAGTACAAAGACTTCACCGATGAGGACAGATACAAAGTGCGAAGTGTCCTGAAGGAGTTCAGTGAAGATGCCATCAAACACACCATAGTGCTCACGACTGATGAAGAATCATATGGATCAATGATTACTACTTTGGTCAAGAATAATGCAGTGAATCTGTTGATAAAGGAGTGTGGAGGAGGACATCTGCAGCTGGATGAAGAAAACCCAGAATGGCGTTCTGACCTACCGAAGAGGTTTGAGAAGATTTTGAAGGGGAATAAGCAACACTTTCTCACTTGTGAGAGATTTAAAGATGTTAAAGAGACATTAGTTGAAGAAGAGGAGATGAGATCTGAGGAAGAAAATGACCAGAGTGACAACAATTATGGAGATCTTAAAGAGAAATGCAATGAAGGTTTTTCTTTTTCAATTTTATTATTATTGTTTCTACAATTGAGCATCTAAGATTCAATTTAAATGCATCTTTATTTCTATAGTGATTTTACAATGTAGATTGCTTCACATAGAAGATTATAGTAAATTGAAAAAGTGTAGTTCAGTTTTCAGAGTTGAAGTTCAGTTTAATTCAATTCAGGTCAGTGTTGTTTAATATTCACTGGTGAGAGTTTAAACACTGAGAAGCAAATCCATAGATGCGTAGCTCTACAGATCCTGAACCATGCAAGCCAGTGGTGATGAGGAAAAATCTTCACCAACTGGCAAAAGTGAAGGATAAAAAACCTTGAGAGAAACCAGGCTCAGTTGAGCACGACCACTTCTCCTATGGCCAAACATCTTGTGCAGAGCTGCAGTCTAGTGGTCCGTTTCCACTGAGTGGTATGGTACGGTATGGAACCAAACCGTGCCGTACCACTTTTTCGGCACCCTTTCGAAAGGGTCCCAAACTGCAGAAAGGGTCCCAAAAGGTGAAGTTACATGAGCAGCTGAACACTATTGGTTACAAGATTACAGCGGAATTATAAATACATATGCAGCCATGGTCGATCCTGCAAACAAACCCTGTCGTCGTTGGTGGATTGAACTCCCTAACTGCATCAGAACAGCAGAGTCACTCGCTACTTTCAAGAAATGACTAAAAACTCAACTATTTAGTCTCCACTTCACTTCCTTATCTGCAATTGCCTCTTTGAATATCACACTAACTGTACAAAAAAAAAAAAAAAAACTAATACTACTAATACTTCCCTTCTTAGACTTTACAGACCTGAAACTTGCCTATAGCACTTATTCATTGTTGCTCTTAGTTGTGTAAATTGCTTCCTTGTCCTCATTTGTAAGTCGCTTTGGATAAAAGTGTCTGCTAAATGACTAAATGTAAATGTAAAATGTAAATGTCATGATAAACAGCCACAAAGTCATGGAGAAGAGCAGATTCACCCTGTGCCGTGTAGTTTTTTTACGAGCCAGTCTGAAGCCCGAGTGGTTTAACTTTCTTCCTTGCGCTCGCCGCACGTCTCTATCTAAAATAACAAACTTCTTGAGCTGATAATAATAACATGCGCTGGATTATTGACAAGCTTTGAAAACCCTTTGCCTGATAAAGCCTGATAAAGGTAACCCGTACCGACCTGAACCATACCGTACTGTACCAGTCAGTGGAAACGAGCCATAAGTGGTGGAGGCTGGAGAAACTGGATGTCAGTGAAGACTCAGCTGTCCCTGGAGTCTCGCAGGTATCAGACTCATGCTCTCTATTCCTCCATGACCAGCACAGCAGCTGCTGAGGATATCATCTGGTCCGGGATTGCAGAAACCTTGGGATCATCTCTTCACAGGTCTTAAAGCGTGAGGGCCTAGAGATGAGTATCCCCAGGTGGAAATAGAGAGAATAATTAGCGTTGCTGTTCATAGTGTATATAAACCAGATGCAGAAACCTGTGTGGAGCACATTTATGTATGATACTGCTATGTGATACATTGAGTGTATGCTTTACTAAAAAGATAGGTCTTTAATTTTGTTACTGAGAGAAGTTTTGAACTGCGAGAGTGTGTCTGACCCTCGGACAATATCAGGAAGGCTATTCCATAGTTTAGGAGCCATAAATAAGAAGGCTTGACCTCCTTTAATCAACTTTGCTATTCTAGGTACTACCAGAAGCCCTGAGTTTTGAGATCTTAAAGAGCTGGTTGAATTGTAGCAAGACAGAAGGTTGGTTAGATAAACAGGAGCTCGATAAGACCTCTGGCATGATGAATAAAAATTTCCACTATACAAAACCACTTTCAATACTTTTAAGGCATTGGAAATTGCTAAATCACAACTTGTATGGGAGTTTTTCATATTAAGTTTGACTTTCCCCGTGTATATTTGCATTTATCTTTTTATTGCATTAATATTAATAAGCAACAAGTTTCAAATACACCTATTACAGAACCATACACTCTAATGATGAACTTGCAAAAACTTCAAAACCAATATTGGATCATGCTTGATTATTTATATATACATTTTTATTTATTTATATTTCTAAAATTAACTGCAAGTAAAATAATAAAATAAATGTACATATTTACAATTACCAACAAACGAATACAGCACGAGTGTGAACATTGTCCGCTTATGAATCTTAATGTGTTTTTCAGAGTCAGCAGATGCATCTGGACAACAGAAGCTGAATCTGGTTCTGTGTGGAAGTAATGCAACACATAAAGTCTCAGTGTCGAAGCTTCTCAGTCATTCCAGTCAGACAGACAGCAGTGGAGTGTGTGTGAAGAAACAGAAGATTCATGATCGTCAGATCAATATTGTGAATCTTCCCGCTCTTACTCGTCTCTCAGAGGAGGAAGTGATGCATCAGACTCTCCGCTGTGTGTCTCTCAGTGATCCTGGAGTTCATGCTTTCCTCATCATTATTCCTGTTGGTCCACTGACTGTTGAAGATAAAGCTGAAATAGACAAGGTCCAGAAGATTTTTGAGTCCAGAGATCACTTCATTCTGCTCTTCACAACAGAGCTCACAGATGGTGGATTTGCAATGGAATTTGTCAACATTTATTCAGATTGTCAGAAGTTGATTAGTCTTTGTGGAGGTCAGTACAGAGTGATTGGGTTTAAGAAACCTGAAGACTCTAAACAGATCCCAGAACTGCTGGAGTATATAGTGAATATGAAGACAAAACCATTCTCACCTGAGATGTTTGTGAAAGCCCTAGAGAACAGAATCAGGCGAGACTTGCAGGAACAACATATGAAAGAAATGAGTGAAATGGAGAGTAAAATTAAAGAGTTGGAGGACAAGATTCAGTCAGAAAGTAAGTTTACTTATTCTGTTGCTTTAAAATGGTATATAACAAGAGAGCAGGGCTGAAAGTACTGAGGGAGATGAAGGTAACAAAGTAAATTTCTCAACACCCTGACAACATTTGCTTTCCAAGCTATAGCAGCACATTCAACATGCAACACCTTTACAGAACTACTAAATATCATGTGAGTTTGTCACTGTCCTTCGTATAGTTCTGGATAGCAGTTTCAAGTGCAATAAGTAAATTACTGAAGCTGTATTTTTGTTCTCTTTTTTCATTAAATAGCGTACAGTCATACTTTAACTAATTTGATTCTGTCCTTGAATTTACTGTGGTTCTATTAGGATATTTTATAAAATTAATTGACATATCATAATTTATTTTTAAAACATTTGATTTTAGTGAAGTTTATTTTAAACTAAGGATCACGTGGTTATGATTGCTAGCGGCTGGATCCGCATTATCCAATTCACAGTGCACCAATCAGATGACTCCTAAACTAGTATGAATACCCTGGGTTACATTCCATTGCTATCTTCGTTTTGAAAAGAGCTCTGCTCTGAACCAGCTGCTACTACTCCTGCTACAACAACAACAATAACAACTTTTGCTACTTTAAAACAACAACTACATCTCCAACTATACTCCAACAACAATTTCAACAACTACTTCAACAACATCAAAACCTCCAACTTCAAAGTGCCTCACACAATGCATCCACTGTGTCTTCAACCCACTTCTCCGGCAAGATCACAGTCAAAACTCGATCACCGTCCACGAACTCCGCTTAAACTCTCAAGACGTCGGCAAAACAAGCCATCGCAATCGAGCCAAAACTCTCCTAGCAGTGCACCTGCGGTAACGTATATTGCATGTTTCCAACTATCCAATGAGCACCCAACTCGACATAGTCCCGCCCTCTATTGACAACATATGAATGAACTCTGCAACAAAGATCTTGTTAATGAATTAGACCAGATATGCTTGTCATTTAATCACATTGAGATCCCAAATGCAATGTTATTTAACCCCCTGGGGTCGAAGACCTCATATACGCGTTCTGACAAGTTTTTACCTCATTGAGCTGAAATGAACCTAAATTACACTTTCAGTTTTGATCGTACAGATAAGATCAATACATCAATCGAATCTGTTAGGTGTCTAGTTTTAAACGTGTACACTCTCAACAAAAACAAATGTGTATGCTTTGCAAAACTAGGATAATAAACAGTGTAGGCAATCTGTCTTTTCTGTCTCCGTGAACTGTTTTTAGAAACGCGTCAGTAAAATGCGCGGAAACTCTGTGAAAACAAAACACCCAAACTGTTATCTATTCTCGGGCATTTCAAGTTTGCTATGTGCACAATTCCCCAAGGCTGCCAGTTTATTACTCAACTCCTTTAGCTCTCCTTCTCGGTCCCCGGTTTAGAAAATACAATAACTCTTTCTAAACCCAGTCACAATATACTTGGCTTATGGATTTTTTTCCTTAAGCAGTGGAACAGCTGTTTCTTTTTCTACAGCGACTCCGGTGGATATTAACTTATTCACTGACACCGCCCCCTCAGCCGGGTTGGATGGCTTTTACCAGTGTCACTGGTTCGCTTCAACATTGCCTCCACAAATGCTCAGTTTATCCAAAAACCAGCTACCATCTGCCCTTTTCGAACTCTACCCATAGTCACAGCTACTCTTCTGTGGAGAAACGAATGGTCTGCCTCCAGTATTCTCAATCATTGTGACAACGAAACCATCGTTCATTTCATCAATAAAGGATGCTCGCATTCACCTCCAATTATGCCCTTATTAAAATACCTAGTTTGGACATAATCCAAAAAACAATTCATTATGACTGCTGAACATGTTCCTGGTTGCAAAAATCAAATTGCTGATTCTCTCTCTCGCTTTCTTTTTCAGAAATTTCGACTCTTGGCTCCAGAAGCAGACCTACTTCCACATTATTCTCTAATGATATTGCCCTAGATCACCCATTACATCACCTCCATGAAACTTCCATACTTCCCCCTTCACGCTGTTGCACCAGAGAACACTTCAATCATATCTCGCATGGAAATCATTCAAATTTTTCCAGACTCTCTACCAATTACATTTCTAAGATTTTTCATTGCTTTCCATCACCTCCTTTATTTCCCACCTCCACACTGCCAAAAATATCCTGGCGTATCCTAAACGTATGTATATTTCTTATATACTTTCCTTTTCTTCTTTTCGGCATCGAGATCCTCTGCCTGGCAATTATTTGCCCCTACTTTACTTCCTTACAGCGTTGAGTACTTCCGCTACCTTTACCCTTTCTTTGATCTCCTCCCTTATCTCCTTATTCTTCAATTCCCTCAATAATTGCTTTTCCAGTGTTGAGTCTTCTCCGCTAACTGTTTTCTTTCAGCGTTAATTATTTTGCTATTTTCTTACTTCCACTTAGGCCCTCAATCCTCAGCTCTAACTCCCCCAGGATTAACTAAAACGAGCTTCAACTCCCGCAGGAGTTCATGTCCCCCCTGGCCCACCGCCTACCCTCTCATGCAGGAGTCTTCACCTCCCAAAACCTTTCCCAACCCCCGCTACAGCCCACCAAACCCCAGCTCTCAACTCCCGCAAGAGTATATCAGAGCTTTGACTCCCACAGGAGTCAATCCAGCCCCTCCCATGTCCCCGCTTAGACTCCATTAGGAGTCTACTTTGCTCTGCTCCCACAGGAGCCTCTCTTCCTAAGCTTTCAACATTATATCCAGCAGCCAGATATGGCAATGTTACAACTGCATTTTGGGGGGCTCTTCAATTTGTGGCTGCTGTCTCGAGCTATATAAGGCATTTTGGGGAGTTCTCGAGATCTATCTGAGCTCAAACTCCCCTCCCGCCTTGCAACAGGAGGGAGCCGCGGGCTCGAGGATCTTTTGAGCTCAGGGCTCTCTCCTGGGACAGCATGCCAAACAAGCTAGAACATCACTGGTTCCAGGCTTTAACAAACCAGCAGACGTTTCTGTGTGGAGTTTGCACTTTCTTTTCGTGCTCATGTAGGTTTCCCCTGGGTTCCCCGGTTTCTTCAGACCATCCAAAAACATGCAACTTAAGTTAATTGACTAATCCAAATCAGCACCATAGACATGCTTGTAGTACGTAGTTGTCTCCAAAGAGCAATCACTTACTGTTCATTGGTTACTACTGCAGGGGAGTTCTCGAGATATACCTGAGCTCAAACTCCCCTCCCGCCTTGCAACGGGAGGGAGCCCCGGGCTCGAGGATTTTATGAGCTCAGGGCTCTCTCCCGGGACAGCATGCCAAACAAGCTTTATAATCAATCATCAGCTAAGTGTGAACTCTTAAAATAAAACAAAAGTGTAATTTATTTTAATTTCATACACTTATTTTATTCATATTTTTTGAGACAAATGCCAAAATGTTTGTAGTTAAAAGATAATAGTCAGGTATAATTAATAAAACCAGAGTAACTTAGAGTAACACAAAAATCTTGTACTGTTGTTACTAGTAAGAGTGCAACTTGTTTTTACGCATAACATTTTAACCAAGTTGTTCTTATTTTGTAAATATGATTTTCAGTTGCTGAATGTTTAGAAGATCTGCAGTCTCTGAGGATTGTGCTGATTGGGAGAACTGGAAGTGGAAAGAGCGCAACAGGAAATACTATTCTGGGAAGAAAGGAGTTTGTTAGTAAAGCAAGATCGGATTCAGTGACGACTGTCTGCGAGAAAGGAGTTTGTGAAGTTGATGGTCGATCTGTAGCTGTTGTTGATACTCCAGGACTCTTCGACACAGCACTAACAAATGATCAAGTGGTGGAAGAAATAGTGAAGTGTGTTTCACTGTCAGCTCCTGGACCTCATGTGTTTGTCATTGTGGTCAGTGTAGGAAGAATAACAAAAGAGGAGACCGAAACTATTGATCTGATCAAAAAGATATTTGGTCTAAAATCTGCTCAGTTCAGCATCGTTCTCTTCACCAGAGGAGATGATCTTGAAGATCAATCTATAGAGGATTATGTAAGGGAAAGTAACTCTGCAGAACTGCAGAAACTGATCAGAGATTGTGGAAACAGATTCCTGGCTTTCAATAACAGAGAAAATCAAGACAAAACTCAAGTGATGAAGCTGTTAAAGATGATAGAAGAGGTGAAGAGTAATAATCAGAGTGGATACTTCACTAACAGCATGTTTGAGGAGGCGGAGATGTCCATTAAGAAGAAGATGGAGGAAATCATGAAAGATAAAGAAACAGAAATTCAGAAACAGAGAGAAGAGTTACAAGACAAATATGAGATGGAGATGAAGGACATGATGAAGAGACTCGAGGAAGAGAAACAAAGAGCAGACGAGGAGAGAGAAAAAATGGAGAATAAACTAAAGCTAAAAGTGGAAAAACTCATGAAAGAGTTTGAAGAGAAGGAAAAAACAGAACAGAAGCAGCGAGAGATTGAAAACCAGAAACGGATAGAAGAGGAAAAACAGCAGAGAGCTGAATATGATCAGAGAATAGAAGAAATGAAGAAAGAGATAGAAAACCAGAGATCACAGTATGAACAACAGCAGAAAGAAAGAGAAGAAGAAGACAGAAAGAGAGAAGAGAAATACAGACAAGACCAAGACAAGATGAGAAATGATAATGAAATTGCAATGGCAGATTTAAAGAAGAAACAGGATGAAGAAATAAAAATAAGGGATCTAGAGGAAAGAAAGAGGATTAAACAAGAAGAAAAAGAAAGAAAAGAATGGGAGAGAAGAATAAAAGAAGCTGAAAATGATAGAAAAGAGACTCAAGAGCAAATTAAACAACGGCAGAGAGAATGGGAGGATGAGAAGAAACGAAGATTGCGAGAACGAAAGAAAGAAGAAAAAATAAGAAAAGAAAAACACGAGGAACAACTGAGAGAAAAACAAGAAGAACTGGAGAAAATGAGAAAGAGATTTGAAAGAGAAAGAGAAGAAGAACGGCAGAAGATGAAACAGGAGAGGCAGAAACAGAGAAGAGAAAGAGAAGAAAAAGAGAAAGAATTTGAGGAAAAGAGACAGGAGACAATGAGACATTATGAGGAGCTGGAGAGAGCGAGGAAAGAGGAGTGGGAGAGAAGAAAACGAGAATATGAAGAGAAACGAGAAGAAGAGAGAAAGAGATGGGAGAACATGAAAGAAGATCTGAAACGAGAACAGGAAGAGGAGATTAAGAGAAGAGAAGCAGAGGAGAAAGAAAGACAAAAGAGAGAAGAGAAAGAGAGAGAGGAAATGAAACAGAAACATGAAGAGGAAATAAAACAGATAAAGAAGAAACATGAAGTTGAGGCCAGAAAACAAGCAGAAGAACTGAATGATTCCAACGAGGGAAAAGAGCAGCTCCAGCAGAAGCTGAATGATCATCAGAAAGAACATGAAATGCTGAAAACTCTCCATCAACAGCTGAGAGAACAGAAAGACAAGGAAATAATTGAGTTAGAGAAAGAAGTTAAAAAGTTTGTTCAAAGCATGCAATTCCAGAAAGAAAAAGAAATAAACGAGTTAAAAAAACAAGCTGAAGCACTCAATGACCTCCTGAAAGACCAAAAGGGAGAGAAAATAGAAGCTCTGCAAAATGAAGTAAAAATGTTCAGTGAAGGCCTGCAAAACCAAAAAGGAGACAAAATTAAAAAAATACGAGATGAAGCTGATAAACTCTGTCAAAGCCTGATAAAGAAGAAAGAGGAGCATTTAAAGAATCTCCAAGAAGAAGCTGACAAGAAAAAATGTGTCTTGATGTGATTTATTTACCGTAAGTATATATTTTCAAAGAATTGTCAATGTTTTATTTTTCTTTTTCTTACTGATGTTTGCCTTTACAGGAATGATTTTTTTTAAGCAAATATATCTACATAAGTTAAGAAATGTTTCTAATCTGTCATATCTGTTTGGTTTCTCTCAAGGTTTTTTTTCCCTTCACTTTCTTCAATTGCTGAAGTTTGCTCCTCCGCTGTCGCCACTGGTTTGCATGGTTTGAGACCTGTAGAGCTGGGCATTGATGGATTACTCTTCAGTGTTTGCACTCTCAGCAGTGAATATTAAACAACACTGAACTGAACTGAACCTAAACTATGAAAACTGAACTACACTGTTCCACTTAACTAGAATCCTCTGTGTTCAGCTGCTTTGAAACAATCAACATTGTAAAATCACTAAATAAAAAAACTCACTTTATTCCTAACGGTTACCAAACAGATTCTAAAGACATTGTTAATAGATAAAAATAAAATAAAGTAAAGTATGGTGGTTGATTTATTTTATTTATTTAGACAAGATAGTGATCCATTTAACTTGTGCATGTTGTTCTTTGACATTAAAGGGCACTTAGTTTACCTCTTTTTCCAGATTTTAGTGCCTGTAAAGTTTCAGCTCAAAACTCCCATCAGATTTTTTATTATACCTTTCAGAAATTTGCCATTATTAGCTTTGAGCATCTGTTCGCTGTTTTTGTGAACTGTGCCTTTAATGCTGGTTCTCCCCGCCCACCGTTCCCACATGACTGTGGGAACAGCAGATCTCACATAACATCTGTGAGAAATACTACTGTAAGAACTTTCCCAATGATTATTTGATGTATTTGTTGTGGAGTTGCAATGATAAGTCATACACCATGTCGTTACAAAGTTCACACACAAAACACAGAGGACACACACACAGACAGTGCACACATTTAGCTTTGCACTGTTTTGCACTACAAATGTGACAGGATACTGGTTAATATCCACTGCTGTATGGATATATTTTATGTTAACCCACGGTTCCCACATGTATGTTACCAAGTAAGGTTGTTTGATGTATTTGTGATGAAGTGTATTAAGCTATGCTGTACCTTCCCAGTCAATACTGTGAAATACAGAAAATTGTGAAATACAAAAATACATAAAAGTAATATTACTTCTTAGATCGTACACTGCTCAAAAACATAAAGAGTACACTAAAATAACACATTCTAGATCGGAATGAATGAAATATTCTTATTAAATACTTTGTTCTTAACACAGCTGAATCAAAATTACACCAATATTATTAACAGAAATTAAATTTATTAAACCATGGAGGTCTGGATTTGGAGTCACACTCAAAACTGAGGTGGAAAAACACTACAGGCTAAACCAACTTTAATGTAATGTCTTTAACACAAGTCAAAATGTGGCTCAGTAGTGTGTGTGGCCTCGGTGGGCCTGTACACCCTCCCTGCAATGCATGGACATGCTCCTGTTTTGCATTAGCAGGAACCCAGGTCCAACTGCACTGGCATATGGTCTCACATCCTAATGTCTCACATTATCTCGGTACCTGAAGGCAGTCAGGCTACCATTACCACCCCACATGCTGGAGGATGTTTCAGGCAGAAGAACGTTCTCCATAGCAACTCTAGGCTCTGTCAAGTCTGTCACATGTGCTCAGTGTGAACCTTGTAAGAATCAGCTCTTTGGTTTAAATCATGTTTAAACTTTGGGGATTCGAATCAAAGATTCGAACATGATTCACATAGAATTATTTAAAGCTTACACTTAACTTAAGTATTTGTCCAGCAAATAGAATGTTTAGTGTAAAGCAATCCTGTATTATATTATTACGTGGCCAACAATAACAATATAATAATAGTATCTAATTATTTATTAAGCAAGGTAGCAGTATCTGAAGCTGAGGCATTAACTTATAAAGCACACAACACACCAACACGGATCTTAAAACGAAACAAAAGTTTATTGCTACTCTATAACACAAAGTACTAATCTACGTAAAACAAACAAACGCACATACATACACACGCACAAGCAGTTTGAGGAGAGTTTTGGCTGAGTGGATTTGACTTCTAGCCTTTGCTAAGTTCTTAGCATTGCAACCCAAGAGAAACCATAAAAGCAGAGAATTTTGCTATTCTTTACTACTTAAACATAATTCACACCAGATTCAGTAATGGGTAGAAACCTTGTTTGTGCTACTTGCGTTCTGATGTAATTTTGGTTTCCTTGACTGGTCCAAAGGGAAATCCCGGCGAAGCTGATTGGTCAGCGTAGCAACTTCAGTGACGTGATGGAATTCCCTTGTCGGTGAAGAGGGGTTTCCTTAGTCGGTTGCTAGGGATACGGATGTTGGACAAGGCGGCGTTCGAAGTCCTTCCTGGGTTCCTGTAGTTATGATGAGTTTCAGAGTTTGGATGTGTTGACCCGATGGCTTGTTGTTGAAGCGGTTGCACAAGCAGATCGGGGGTCGAGCCGGCAGCAAGTGAAGGTCGCGGTCTGCTCCGTGATGTAACGAGGCTTCCGGCGAGGCGATGTAACGGCCACAGCACGAGAAGAGCGACGTCCGGGCAGCGACGGCGGTGACGACTGGCAAAGATGACCGGCAAAAGACGACGATGAAATTCCTTTGTTCAAAGTTTTATAGGCTTTGGTAGAGGCTGGGTCTACACAATACTTGTCCAATCAGATAAGGTGCGGGGTGGAGTCACACCCCAATTCTGCCCTCTAGGAGGCCGGGTTGACACCTGGTGTGGGTGCTGCTTTGATAGCATAGTGGTTAAAATAAAGTCTTATAACGTCAACACTTTTCATAGTATGGTTTCTTCATATAAACCAATGCATTTAAAATGTTCCTAGCTTTCAATCGATACCAAACATGAAGTATTTCACAAACATTCTGTAGATTTCATTTGTCACTGAGGGCTATTACTCAAGAACTATCTATAACAGTTTTGTTAAACACATGGAACATGTACACACAAAAACCTACAGAAACATAAAGCAAACATACATTACTCAAATAAACTGTTTTACTTAAATGTCCATTAAACTTTGGAAGCGTTTCTGATCGCTTCTGTGTCTGCCTGAGAATGTGTATTCCTTGCAGACGCCAAAGGACACGCAAACCAAAAGGTACTTCTCAAAAACCGGTTTGGTGGGTTTTTGATTGTAGAGCCTCTTATTGTTTTAAGGTGTAAAGTTAATTAACACGCAACTGTGATGTTGACTGGCTAGTTGTCCTGTGGATTGCCTTTTGCTGGGTGCCTGTGGATTGCTTTGAAAATGAAATCAAAGCTCAGACCTGAAGGCACCAACCAATCTTTTAAGGATAACATGGTCTGTGACTTGTTCGGTTCTGGAACGATCCGTTGACTCCCCACATCCCCCATTTGGATGGTGATGTTCCTGGCATGAACATCGGCAGACACTGGAACAAGAGGCATAGGTAGAGAGAGAACAGACACACAAGACACAAACCACATTTCCATTCCATAGACTGAGTTCTGGTGCAGGTTTTAGCTTAAATTGTTCGGGTTAAGAACACAAGGTGTAGTGTAACATTGCCTGAAATAATTCAAATTTAGTTATTTAGCTAGTTTACTTCATTGCGAGTATGTAGTGGCGCTAGCTTCAACTTAAATGAGCAATAATTCTGCAGCAATTGACACTAATTTGGGAGAAGGAGTCAATCCTACTTTTAGGCCCTGTGCATGAATTTGCAGGAGTTCCCTGTAGAGGGGATTGGAACTGCAAATCAGTTAGGGAGAGAGAAAGAAGGAAATCAAGAGGCACAGGGATGCAAAAAAAACAAGGTAGGTTAAAAACCAGCAATAACAGTGTTGCATATGTGGAGTGGCTCCTCTCTTACTAGAGGTTGTTCTAGCAGTGCTGTAGAGGAGAAAGTATTAGTGTTGTGTTTAACTAGGTGTTCCCTAGAATGTCAAAGGTTATGTTAGTATGTAGACGGGTAGAACAGTTGATCTGTGTCAAGTTGTGGTCCTCCCCCATTTGTTGTTCAATGATGATGGAGCAGTCAAATGTTCATCCAGTAACGGAGGTAGCGGAGTTTGGCATGGGTCAGGGAGGGTTTCAGGACTGAACTGAGGTTTGTCGGAGGAGTGGCAGACGACCCGAACGACACTTTTGGGAGCCTGAGGGCTTTCACCTGCAAGTGTTTGTTGGTTCAGGCGGTTGTTGCTTCTCCGCTCGGCGACTAGTCAGGCTGAATCTGCTTTTTCCTTTTCTCGTTTCCTGTCCTCCTCTATGCATTTGAGAAACTCTTTCATCATCAATTTCACCAGTTCTTGAGGGTTAAATCCCGGTGGGGCATTTTCCTCTTGCTGGGATTGAGTCTGAGCGTTGTCAGGGTGGAAGTTTTTGGAGTACCTTCGTTGACTCCTTGGACTTGATGATCCAGGGTTTTGATGTCTTCCCTTAGATGGTGACCAGCTTTTGTTTGACCCCCATTGGTTTCTTTCCTGGTGGTGTTCAGGTGAGCGTCGTTGTCCATGCGGTCCATGCCAGTGACTGTTCCTTTGTTTAGGTCTTGTGTCATCGTAGGAGTTCCGTTGTCTATTGGACGAAGACGCATTCCACGCTTGGGATGGTGGTCTCACGCTGTTTGAGTGTTGGGCACACTCTAGTGCTAGTTCTGGACTCTGGGTGTTAAAGTCAAAAACTGTGGCAGTTTTAGTGTTTTTCTCTAACACCATCTTTTGTTTGTCGTGGGCTTTCTGTGTCAAATCTCGCAATTGCTGGATGCTCATTGTTCGTGGGCATGCGAGTACTCCGAGATGTTGGCTTACTGCAGGATGGAGGTTTCTCAGGAAGAGAATCTTAAAGTTCAGGTCTTCTTCCATATTCGGTTCGTTGTGAGTTCCGAAAAAGGCTTGCCTGAGTCGGTTGTAGTAAGCATGTGGAGACTCATTGCGAGCTTGTTTTGTCTCCAGAGCACTTAACAGTCCTTGATCTGATTCAGGGTTTGCAAACTCTCTGATGAGGGCTTCTTGGAGCAAATGGTAATCGTTCTTTATCCGAGCCGGTTGTCGGTCCAGGAAGCTGCGCACCTCAGGGCTGGATGTGGCTCGAAGCAAATACAGTCTTTCTTTATCAGAGACATTGGGTCTCATTTCCAGGTGGAAATCAATGTCTTGCAAATAAGCGTGGACCTCCAACCCACCTGACACACTTGGAGTAAACTTGCCAATGTTTCTGGCCAGCTTGTCAAGGTCTTAAAGGTCCAGACTGTATGACGATCTGTGACTGGCTATCACAGGCTCTCGTCGCTGTGGGGTAAGGTAAGGCTCTTCAGAAGGTGTTGGCGAAGATCTTCGGCATGGTTTCTCACCTCTTTCAATAGGTGAGAGCTCAGGGACAGGGGATCCTGTCCTGCTTGGCAGGGGCGAGGCTGGTGCACATCTTGTTTTTGGAGGTTCATAGCGCAGTGCATAGGCATGCCTGAGTTCACTGGCAGACTCCTCTTTGATGTCATTCACTTCCTGCATTAGTCTGTCGATCTCATGTCTTGCTTCGCTCAGGTGAGTTTCAAGGGCTTTGATTCTGGCCTTCTTGTCTCTTAAGTCCACCTTCGCTTCCTTCAGTAGCTGTTCAGGGTAATCTAGCTTGTTAGCGACGTCAGCGTGGTCTGCTCTGGCTTGTTCTCTTTCTTCTGTGATGGCTGTTAGGGCTTCTTGTAGTTTGTCGATCTCCTCTGTGGTACCTTCATCCACCTCACTTGGTTGTTCCAGACGTTCCTGAGCCTCTAGCTCTAGCTGCTCGATGCGGGCTTGCAGGCATGTCAGCTTGTGTTGGAGTTGGGAGGCGTGTCTGTCACTCAACTTGAGCGTGGCTATGAGTGTGTGACTCAAAGTACCAGTGATTTTGGCCAGCTCCTTGTGGTTGAAGCTTTGACTTGGGTCTTGCTTCATGATGCTGTCTATGTTCTCATCCAATTGGTTTTGCGTCAGGGGCTGCAGTGTTTCGGCAGCTTTAGGGAGGAAACTGCCTGTTACAACGCTCAGCCATGTTTCCAGGTCCTTCCAATGGCCAACAGGATCTTTGGAGTGAGCCATGTTTTGCGGCGGGGGGAGGACTTAGGATTTTAACTGACAAAGACCTTGAAGAGAGATAGAGAGGAGAAAGAAAAAAAAAACAAGGTAGAACAATGCAAACAGAAAAGGAGAAATGTTAATGTGCAATGTTAAGTGTGTTCTAATGTTGAGTGAAGTGTGGTTCTCTGGAACTGTGGCCCTCTGGTGGGTACGCGTGTCTAACTGGTAGTCTCTGTGGAAAGAGTCAGTAGCACAGACACAGTGAGAGAACAAAGTAAACAAAAGTGTTAAGGAGACTAAGGAGTAGGGTGAAAATCTGCAGTTTCCACTTTCCTAGAGAGAGGGTTCCTTTAGCTTTTGTTAAATATAAAAATAAGATTTCTAAATACCAGGACTGAAGTTGCTATTAACTTTCTTCTGAAGTGACAGAAAGTAGGACAACAATAACAGTATTGGCTTCTGAATAGGATTGACTCCGTACACCAAATAAATTGTTTCTGGATGCGTGTTTAGAATTGGATCTAACGACGCCTATCTTCTGGGTGACCTGATGAGTGAGAAAGGAGGGGTGAGATCAGACAATTTTAACAATTAAAAGTGTTCAAGTGTCCCAAACATCTATTAAATGTTTTTTAAAATTCTCTGCTTTTTTGACTCTCACAAGCACAATCCTTAAACCAGCATCAATAGTCCAGTAAAAAGAAGATAGTTAGTTGAAAGAGATAACAAAGGAGTTAGTTTTCTCTTAGCATTAGGTGTAATTAAGGATGTCAAAACAATGGCACTGTTGAGTTGATACTTCAAGAAGTGTTGGTTTTATTGTGTTATATAGTAACCACTTAGCCTACGTATTAGAAAAATCTGAATTTTCCTTTTGAAGTTTGGCTAATTGGAGGGCTCTACTAGATGAAAAGACTAAATTCAAATTTGAATTGAACTTAACTTTAAATCTGTAACGTGGTAATAACTTTTATAAGTTATCATTAAAATTGATAAGAACACTTATGACTAAATTTTAATTATTAATTATTGCTAAAATGATAGAGCCATGCATAAATGAACCATTAATGAAATTAAAATTTCAAAACAATGAAGTTGGTTAAAGTAACATTTAATGCAGTTTATCATTAAATTAAACAATTATAATTTATTTAATCAGTGAGTCTTATCCGTATAAATCAACAATTATAGGAAATGGGTGTTCCTAGATGTTGATAAATGGAAAAAGTATTTATACTTGTACAGGTCAGAGAGCATTAATTTATAGTCATGAAAACAAAACTATAATTCATCACTAATAAAACCAACAGCTTATGTGAGTTCAAACTGATCAAATTCAACAGGCCAGGTACAGCAGGAAAAACAAAAATAAAATAAAACAGTAGTGATTAAACTCAGCAGTTAGATTGTGCACACTTTTATTAACTTTGCGTTTGTAAACTTTTCCAAGGTGAGTAAAGAGAAATAACTGAGATGCAAGAGTTATTTCAAACATCAGCCATACAATGCATTTAAGACCACTAAATGCTACGTGCTATCTATTAGCCTTCGCTGCTACTGGAAATGCATAGACTTCAATGCAAACGCATTAGCGTTAGTTTAGCTTAGCTTCACGCTATGCTCTTTGTTTACAATTCAAGCTGGCGCTGGCGGACTGCACATGCGCGCTTGAATGTAATTCCGGCAAGTCTCTCTGTACTTCCGGACCAAGGTTGCTGCTATGGCAACGACCACAAAGTGGAATAATAGCAAATTTCACAGTATCACTTGAGATGGCGGCGCATCTCACACTGTTCAAGCAAAAAGCACTAGTTAGATTTTATATCTTAACAGTACTGAACGATTCTCAACTTATGAAAGTGAGACAAAATTAATCAACAGGATTTCTGAGATTAATACAAATCGTGACAGAGATATGGGGGATCTCAGCACTCTGTGTTAAGTCTGTGTAGACTGCAAACACATCCGTGGATTCAAACCACAATTTCAATTGATCAGTTTCAAAACTTCTCCTATAAACTACGCTAGGCAGCTCTCTCTGAGCTCCACGTTTTAAATAATTCACTAAGTCTTAGCAAATTACAGGGCAACAAGAATTTAGTTAGCTATGCTAAATCAGTTACCAGGAGAAAACACAGTTGAGTTTCCATCCGGGAATCGCGGCGTACGAAATCATACTGTGAAGGCCTTATATAACGTTATGAGATAAGCACAAAGGAATACGCTTTGTCTTTCTCTACATGCGCTTTAGAGCGGCTTACAGTTTGTCTCGGCGGACAACTTAAATGAAGTTTTACTTTCTTAACAACACTAAATGCAGTCAAGCAATAAAACAAATGGTACCACAATGAAATTGTGCAGTAACAAAACTTTTGTTCCCTCTAATCTATTCTTTCCGGACAAAAATAGAAAAGATTAACAACGTGATTTCTGGGTTTTGTGCTTTAAACGTTAGATCTGCTTGCCCGCATTCTCCACCACTATGTAAGAATCAGCTCTTTGGTTTAAATCATGTTTAAACTTTGGGGATTCGAATCAAAGATTCGAACATGATTCACATAGAATTATTTAAAGCTTACACTTAACTTTAGTATTTGTCCAGCAAATAGAACGTTTAGTGTAAAGCAATCCTGTATTATATTATTACGTGGCCAACAATAACAATATAATAATAGTATCTAATTATTTATTAAGCAAGGTAGCAGTATCTGAAGCTGAGGCATTAACTTATAAAGCACACAACACACCAACATGGATCTTAAAACGAAACAAAAGTTTATTGCTACTCTATAACACAAAGTACTAATCTACGTAAAACAAACAAACGCACATACATACACACGCACAAGCAGTTTGAGGAGAGTTTTGGCTGAGTGGATTTAACTTCTAGCCTTTGCTAAGTTCTTAGCATTGCAACCCGAGAGAAACCATAAAAGCAGAGAATTTTGCTATTCTTTACTACTTAAACATAATTCACACCAGATTCAGTAATGGGTAGAAACCTTGTTTGTGCTACTTGCGTTCTGATGTAATTTTGGTTTCCTTGACTGGTCCAAAGGGAAATCCCGGCGAAGCTGATTGGTCAGCGTAGCAACTTCAGTGACGTGATGGAATTCCCTTGTCGGTGAAGAGGGGTTTCCTTAGTCGGTTGCTAGGGATACGGATGTTGGACAAGGCGGCGTTCGAAGTCCTTCCTGGGTTCCTGTAGTTATGATGAGTTTCAGAGTTTGGATGTGTTGACCCGATGGCTTGTTGTTGAAGCAGTTGCACAAGCAGATCGGGGGTCGAGCCGGCAGCAAGTGAAGGTCGCGGTCTGCTCCGTGATGTAACGAGGCTTCCGGCGAGGCGATGTAACGGCCACAGCACGAGAAGAGCGACGTCCGGGCAGCGACGGCAGTGACGACTGGCAAAGATGACCGGCAAAAGACGACGATGAAATTCCTTTGTTCAAAGTTTTATAGGCTTTGGTAGAGGCTGGGTCTACACAATACTTGTCCAATCAGATAAGGTGCGGGGTGGAGTCACACCCCAATTCTGCCCTCTAGGAGGCCGGGTTGACACCTGGTGTGGGTGCTGCTTTGATAGCATAGTGGTTAAAATAAAGTCTTATAACGTCAACACTTTTCATAGTATGGTTTCTTCATATAAACCAATGCATTTAAAATGTTCCTAGCTTTCAATCGATACCAAACATGAAGTATTTCACAAACATTCTGTAGATTTCATTTGTCACTGAGGGCTATTACTCAAGAACTATCTATAACAGTTTTGTTAAACACATGGAACATGTACACACAAAAACCTACAGAAACATAAAGCAAACATACATTACTCAAATAAACTGTTTTACTTAAATGTCCATTAAACTTTGGAAGCGTTTCTGATCGCTTCTGTGTCTGCCTGAGAATGTGTATTCCTTGCAGACGCCAAAGGACACGCAAACCAAAAGGTACTTCTCAAAAACCGGTTTGGTGGGTTTTTGATTGTAGAGCCTCTTATTGTTTTAAGGTGTAAAGTTAATTAACACGCAACTGTGATGTTGACTGGCTAGTTGTCCTGTGGATTGCCTTTTGCTGGGTGCCTGTGGATTGCTTTGAAAATGAAATCAAAGCTCAGACCTGAAGGCACCAACCAATCTTTTAAGGATAACATGGTCTGTGACTTGTTCGGTTCTGGAACGATCCGTTGACTCCCCACAACCTGCTTTCACCTGTGAGAAGCACAGGGCGCCAGTGGAGAATCTGCCAATCTTGGTGTTCTCTGACAAATGCCAAACGTGTTGGCCTGTGGACATCGGGCAATAATACCACCCTCATGGAGTCTGTTTCTAACTGTTTGAGTAGACACATGCACATTTGTGGCCTGCTGGAAGTCATGTTGCAGGGTTCCAGCAGTACTCCTCCTGTTCCTCCTTGCACAAAGACGGAGGTATCGGTCCTGTTGCTGTGTTGTTCCTATCCTACGGCTTCCTCCACATCGCCTGATGTCTCCTGGTAGCGCCTCTATGCTGTATACATTACGTTGACAGACACAGCAAACCTTCTTGCCACAGCTTGTATTGATGTGCCATCCTGGATCAGCTGCACTACCTGTGCCACTTATGTGGCTTGTAGACACCATCTCATGCTACTGTGATAGGATGGGTGGAGTGACTGACCGTTTCACCAACCTATAAGCAGGTGGCACCCAGCTATGTAAACTTGGGAAGTTCACCCTCCCACCACATCACATCTGACTTCAGATCTCGTGTGCCACTTTCCATGTTTTGGCTTCTGGTTGGCAATATTTGCAGGTAAGTGTATTTTTAGCTTTTGGCTGCTGTTACCCTGAGTTTTAGCTTGATACTAGTGTTGTGTTAAACCTAGGGTGGTTATATAGACTGCATGAGCGAAGCTCTATGGGGAGTGTGCTATAAGCTGTGCAAAGGTATGTTTACGTTTCATGCAATGATTTAATTGGGCTTGGGAGACGCTGTCTGAGTGAATCTCTGTAATTATTAGTTCTCTGTCCCTCTATTGTTTTCTGCCCTGTTTTGCTTTTAAATCAAGTGCTTTTAATCACTTTTTGATGACTGCGACTAATACTGTTTGTTTAATGGAGATCCTCCATCTGCTGTGTGATTAACGTTACGTTATTGCCGCCTTTCTGCTAAGTTATGTTGGTGATACCTGCACTGGGCATCTGTTGAAGTAGCATCCACACCATTCCTGAGGCGATCAGGAGCTCTGGTGAATACAATGAACGAACGGTCGCGCATGTCACCTCTAGTATAGGGTGGTTAAGTTTGGTATTGTTTAAACGTTTTGCTTGTAATTTGAGTTTCCTTTATTTATTTGTTTTTTTTTTTTTTTTTTTTTTTTGCATATTGTTGATTTTGTGGTGTTGCTAGTGCTGACTGCTTTAGTAACACCACACTTTATTGTTTTAGTATTTCATCTTGTTTGTATTGTCTAGTTCTTGTATTTGGTTCTTAGTTGTGATATTGGTCCCACTTTATATTAAGTGTCCTTAACTACTTTGTACTTACATCAAAAAAATACAAAAATAAAAATAAAATAAAAAATAAAAATAAATACAATGTACTTACTGTGTTTATAATGCATTTAAGAACACGTGGTGCTTTTGAGTAGGGATAGAGGTTGGGTTATGGACAGGTTTGGTGGTATGGGTAGGTTTAAGGGTGGGTTAAGGTGTAAGGGATGGTCAACAGTGTATGTACAAATGTACTTACAAAAGTTAATTACAGATGTAATTACATACATGTATTTAATCAAGCATAAGTACACAGTAAATACATGTATTTACACAATAAGTACATTGCAGCAAACTATTAATTCCTGTGTATGTACATATTAGTTAAGGCCACTTAATATAAAGTGGGACCGTGATATTAGTTTAATGTATTTTAAGTTGTGTTGTCAAATTGTGTAAGTCTGATGTTTCACTTTTCTGTGAGCAACAGTAACCCTTACATTTGATTGAGTGCTAATTTGAGTACAGTTGACGAACGGTCAGACTGAGCTTAAAATCCAAGACATTTCCGGGTATCTCCAGATGTTCAGCTTGCAATATCAGAACACCTGGAGCCAGTATCTACCGTGGGCTGAGTATGCACAGAATTCCCTTTGACAATCTTCCTCCAGTCCCCACAAGTGCCCGCGATAGGTCACTGGTTTTGAGAGAGCGAGAGGATTTGAGACTCAGCTCATGTCCATCTGCACCAGGCAGTAGCTAACACCGCCAATTGTCATAGTCTCCCCAATTTTGCCTATCAGCAGGGTGACGCGGTATGGCTTTTCACCAGGGACATCCGACTCTGTTTGCAATGCCGCACATATGTCCCCATAGGACCATTAACTGTGCACTCCCAGATCAACCCATACACCTTCCATCTCCACCGCCATTCTCAATACCATATTGCACCCACCTTTCATGTATCCCTGCTCAAACACCATGTTGACCCTGTGTCGCCTCCTTCCACAGACCCGGACCTTTATACTTAGATTGAATGAAGATTCTTGTTTACATTTTGAACTGGTTACAAGGCTGCTCTCATTCGAAAAATATCACTCGCCTGCTTCTCCCACTGAACAATCCACATTTTTTTAAAATAAATTGACGAAAAGAGATAACCAGAAGACAATGAAGAAAACCTTGTCTTCATTGTGTGACTGTGACAGGAGGAGACTGAGGCGCTGACTTGCCTTCATTTTTAACAGCCTCTACATTACTATTAAAATTCAGTTTATTGTCAATAATTGTGCCCAAATACTTAAAATTTTAGACGTGCTCTACTGTTTGTCCATTTATGATGACTGGTTTGTAAAGTCTAGTATCTACTGCTCTTGTTTGACTTCCCCGACATAGCTCTTTGGTTTTTCCAATTTTAAGAAGTAATGAACATTTGTCAAACCAATCTGTAATATTATTAATATATTTAGAATATAAGGAGCTATTAATTTCTTCCTGACAGAAAATGCCAGATCATCAGCATAGTTTATAAGAGTGAGATTATCATCATTATTGCACTGCAGTTCATTATATATATATATATATATATATATATATATATATATATATATATATATATATATATATATATATATATATATACAATAAAATAGGGGATAATACACATCCCTGAGGTACCCCTATATTTAAAACAGAGCAGTCAGACACAACATGATTAACACAGACACGTTATGGTCGGTTGTTTAAAAACTCTCTGATCCATACAATCAACCAACTACTTACTCCTTAATTCTGAAGTCGGTTGAATAGTATTAAAAGCAGCTGAAAAATTCATTAAAGTATTCTAACATATGTATGTAGCCCATCTAGATGATGTTGAACTTTCAAGACTTTGAACTTTCAACAATTTAAGAGAGTAAGAGAGGCGTTCACAGTGCTCTGGTTGGCCCTATAGGCAAACTGCAGGGGATCCATTGTCCTCTCAACTTGAAAAGACAACGCCTTACACACTATGCGTTCAATACCTTTACAAAGAACAGACATGATTGTAATTGGACGGAAATCATTTAACAATTTAGCATGAGGTATTTTAGGTACTATTGAATTTCTCCAGGCTAATGGAACAAAACCATTGTCTAGGAATATTTGAAACATTCTGGTGCACACATAATCCAATTTTTCCGCACACTCTTAAAACTTTACTCTTCAAGCCATCTGGACCAGATGCTTTGTGTGATTTAACGTTACGAGGCACTGCGATAACCTCTCTTTCCTGTATGCTCATGGTCTGTGACTGAGTCTCAGTTCCTACTATATCTATATTGTTGACCCTGGACCCATTTGGATGATCAAATATTGAGAAGTATATGTAAAGATCATTTGTGAGACTGTAAGGATCCTCATATTGTTGAACTTTTTTCTTTATGCATCAGATGCCCTTCTAGCCGCAACCCAGTATTATGGGAATGGGAAACACTGACTCTCACATTTACACACACACACACACACACACACACACTCATACACTACGACCAATTTAGTATAACAGTTCCCCTATAGTGACTGTGTTTGTACTGTGGGGGAATTCGGAGCACCCAGAGGAAACCCACGTCAACACAGGGAGAACATGCAAACTCCACACAGAAACACCAACAGACCCAGCCGAGACTCAAACCAGTGACCTTCTTGCTGTGAGGCCACAGTGCTAACTACTGAACCACCGTGCCGCCCATCAAAATCATCTGTATTGCAAAACAAAATCAATAAATCCTGTATTAATCTGAAAATTCTGACACCTAAATTAAGGTCTGGTACTACATAACAAATGCCATGTAAAATAGATACACTCATACACAGATCAGGGATGTCAAACTCAATTCCTGGGCCGCAGCCCTGCACAGTTTAGTTCCAACCCTAATCAATCGCGCCTGATAGCACTAATTGAGTCCTTTAGGCTTGTCTGAAACCTACAGGAAGTGTGTTGGAGCAGGGTTAGATATAATATAAATAAGATATAATATAAGTAAGATATAATATAAATAAGATATAATATAAATAAGAATATAAGGCATATAGCTTCTGTGTAGATATCAGAGAATAATAATCTTATTTAGTCAATGCACTCTAATGCACTCCTTTAATATGTCACATTTAAGTTGACGGGTTTGTGTGAGCATCAGTGCTGCTCTTGACTGAATGAGGCAGTCACACACACAGTGCGCATGTAAAAATACACAAACTCACTGGACTGATTAAAGTTCAAGTTTCACCCGAAACGAGTGAAAATTCAATCAAAACTGAGGAGATAAAATGACGCAGCCGACAGGTAAGATTTCTCTTTTGAAAACCTTTTTTCAGACAGTAATAAATGTTTCACTCTTTCATAATCAAAACAACTGTTTAAATAGAGAAATTATATTTAATAAATCATAAAAATTCAAGAGAAAATTGAAGGAATAAGAGAGATGCATGTGCTCATCAGGGGTCTTTAAGAGTGGATTTAACACAGCTATTTGACATTTTGATGATGTCTAATGTTGTGACACTGACTTCTTTTATGTTTATCACATGTAGAAATGCTGCAAATGATCAATGCTATGCCTTGATAACAGGTTTGCATATTAAATAATAAAATGACACTGCTATGGTATTGGAATATAATGGGTAATTGTAAAATAATAAATAAATAAGTGAATAAATAAATATCTGAATATTTTGTACTTCAAATGAACTGACAAAGAAAGTGAGACAGTAAAACACTTTTACATGCACATTTCAACATTACTGTCAAAACCAAAAAAAAGTGTGAATCGAACTTCTTTAAAAATGACACAAATAAAAAGTAGAATGATAATATACGAGAGATTCTGTCAACACTGGATGTATTTCGATAGGAAAACATCTTTAAATAAACATGTTTAAATCACATGCCATATATAAAACACATGCTCATTTGAAACCAATGTAATAACTTTTACACATGTGATCATGTATGATGTATGCTAATGTCCACAGTGAGCACTTACATGTGTCTAAAAATAAAATGGATATTAATCAGCTTTAATAATTGCTCTCAATATATGGCTATTAAAACTTTGATTTAAAAATAATAATAAATGTGAGGCTGCAGCCTCTGTATAGTTTACTGCATATGCCTTCTGTCACTGGTCAGCCGTGGTGTTTCAGTACATGCTGATCTCAAATTTCAGATATTAATGTTACTCCCAAAATAATATTCAGATGCAGAATGCTGTACTAATGCAGTTATTGAACCATTCTGCTTTCCCACATGAAACAGGGGAAGGGTAGAAATGTGAACTTTGCTCTTGTAAGTAAATAACGAGTTGTTGACATAATAGTTTGTTTTGCACAACATGTTATCAGTGCACACATCAAGAACCTGTGCAAAGTAAAGATGCAGATAATAAAACTAAATTAAAAGTAGAAACGACTCATTTTCAAATGTACTTGAGTCAAAGTATTTGATTTTCAAATGACTTCTCTATTAAATTAATTATTGATTAATCTATTAACATTTAAAAATAATTACCCATGCATGGGTTCATAAATATTATATAACAGAATCAAGCAACTAATAATTGTAAATGGCAATTATAAACATAAATCAAAATGTGTTGACTTTAGTAAGAATGCTGTGTAACTGTACATGTTTTATATATGTTATGTGCTTCAGCAGTGTGGAAACTGCTCTAACTTCAGTCTGTAAATCATCAACTGGATACTTGCTCTTACCAAAACTGCGTCCCCCCACCCCCACAATAAACACAAATGATTCACCTGAACACCCTCTTCTCTAATTCACCTCATCACACGGCAACATCTTTAAATAATGTATGTTTTTCTACCTTTCTAAATTCTGTAGGTCAAAATAAAGGTTTAATGGTATCGCTTTGGATTACAACCAGCAAAGCACCGCATAGGTACAGTGAAATAACGGTGTACTCTTCTGTAAGTATAGTATAAGTATAATAAACATATGTGTATGAGGGAACAAACTGTAATGCTTGGGTAATCGGGGGTAACAACCAGATATTCAACATAAAAAATGTGTATGTAAACACAGATTTTTTTGATGACCTTAATCCATCCTAAATTATAAACATACCAGATTAAGATAATCTAGAGTTAAATATAAGTCGCAGTATCTGCTCTATTTTGCAATTGTGAATGCACACACAGCAATGTTGACCACAAACAAGGGAAGAATTTTGAGCAAGAAATTGTACACCATCATATATTTGGTCTTATAGTAATAAAATAAAACTTTACATACATTACATGTAGCATTGGGAAATAAATGTAAAACACCCATAACCAGTACCATAAAGATGAACTGTAAGTTGAAATGTCTGGAGAAAGTGTCTAATGGCATTGAGCTGACAAAAGATTTTTGTTTTTGTCATAACATTGATGAAATGAGAACATAAAAGAAATCTTATAAAAGCAACTCATGCAAGCACCTTAATTAAAGGAGTCTTATTCAGAATAAGGTGAATAATTAGATGAACAAAATGTAAACCAACCATTTTATATAAGTTACCCTGATCTTCACAATCAACAGTGGGATACAAATTTACAAAATCTGTTCAAGAAAATATTTTTACAAGCTGAGTTTGGAACAGCCACCTCCAAATTTAAGATACCCAATAAATATACTAATATATACAGTGGTCAGCATAATTGAGTACAGCCCATTTTGAAAAGTTCTTAGTGAATATAGGCATGTATTTTGGTGCATTTAAACAAATCTGATTAATTGAACAGATATATTTATTACAATAATATTTTAGCCACAAACATATTTTAAAATAGAAAAATAACACATTTAAATTCAAGCTAAATATTGGAAAAATACATTACAACCTACAAAATTTCAACTAATTTATATATATATTTAAATAGTGATTTTTCTTTAACCAATAGAGGGCACAGGCCAGTAGTTCCAGAGTCAGACTTCTTTCACTTTCAGTATAAATTTTAGGTACGAGGCAAATCAAATCAAAATGGCTTTACGATTTATTTAGTGTTTTTTTTTTTTTTTTTTTTAATAGAAACTAACTTTAGGATATCTTCACTCTTTTGCCTCGTTTTAATGTTTTGTGCTGCAATTTTATTATATTTAATATTATTTTATGTTTCACGCATAGGCTAAACTTCACGTTTTTATCTGCTGGAGTGGGATGACGAGCTGAATCAATCACACACTGTTTATTGAACGACGCATATTTTTCTCTTTGATTGGACAACCACAGTCACAATTCGGAAAGGGTGGAAGCAGAGATGTCGCATCATCACAGTAAGTAACAGTTTACAATAAACATGCTTTATTAATTCATGACTAGTCCACACTTTGCTTAGAAAGTAAACGTGAATTAAACCATGCTGGATTTAATATCGACGGAAGTTCGGCCAGTATTATCGATGTTTGTTAATAAAAAAACCTAAGGTGTGTTTTTTAATGAACGAAAAGGACTCACATGCAGTTAAAGCAAACTTTGTCTTGTGAAAGATCAGTTGTTATTTTTGTTTATTTTAAGTGGTATTCTGATTTGTTTTTAATCTGTTAATTCAGCTTGTACACTCTTTCCAAATAAAAAATGCAAATATTTAAAATATACAGTATGTTTATTACATCAGCAATGTAAGGATGATCTGTTCATTAAAGCTAATACAATTCTTAACGTTAATACAACACATATTAATAATAATAATACTAGTAAATAATAAATAATAACATAGAATTGTTGAAACAGTGCATTTTGATTGATCATTTCAGGACACGTCCTTTAAATGTTTTTAAAAGGTACCACATTCTACCTGGTAGTTGACATTGCTGTCAATTAAAGGATTTTTACATTGCTATCATCTAATGTAGCTTAGAAAATTAAACATAAATCAACTATGCAAAACAAAGTGATTTACTCATTGGATAAACTAATAATGTATTACAATATGTATTTAAATGAGTGAACTAACAGATTTACTGAAAGAAAAAAAAAAATCTAATCCAACAATAATGCCAGTGTAAGGATAGTTGACCTCTGCGTTGTATTGTGCTGCAAGTCACCAACCTAAAGTAATGAAACCCTCCAAAAGTGATTCTCAGCGTCTTTTTATTCTGAGAAACAAATCAAATCAAACAACATCATATGTAACAGGGCAATATACTGCAGACAGAACTGAAGCATCATTCCATAATACAATGCTATGATAGCAACATGCAGTTTTTACTATGAGAAACACAAAGCTCAATATTGTTGCATTTCTTAATACATATTCGCTTTTAAAATCTAGTAGAAGCATAATACATTTGTTGACAACTTAATCACTCTTTTATATATCCAAAAATAATCATGTTACACACGTTAATTACAATATTTTCACTCCTGTTCAGACCACGCTTACCAGTAGCAGCATCAGCCATCATCTGCTGAACTACGGTAGCTGCGAAAGGACATCTTAAAGAAAAACGCCTGCATTTTCTTAACCACTAGGGGCACCAAAGCATCAATCATGTGTACTACCTTAATTTCATGTCATTTATCACAATAAATCTCTATTACCACTGTTACGTTACCAAACTTCCTTTGGTTTCAGGGGCTATTTTCTTAATTTAAAGTGGGCCGATCCAAAATGATGAACCAATAATTTCACTTTAACTTCCTTCAAACTAAAAATATATAAACGCAGATCTTTGTAGAGTTATGAAATGTTAACTTTTTAAAAATTATTTAACAGAGGTGTTTGTTGCACATCTTAGAAGATAATGACATTGACACAGTTTAAATTTAATTATTGAAAAAAATTTGTCATTTTGTGATGTTTGCTTCTGTGTTCATATTGTTTGGTACGTATAGTACCTCAGTTTTGGGGTCACGGTTCGATACAAATTAGGTACAACAAGATCAAGAAACAAGTCTCCTGTATTTGCTTTTGCTTTTTCTTTTGAACAGTCAGAAGAGTTCTGTTATGTAACGAACTGAAGAGCTTCTTGTGATCCAAAAGTACAAAATAAAGCCAATAATAAAAATAAAACTTACAATAAGGAAACAATGTATTAAACTTTCAAAGATTAAGCTCCGCAGTAGTACTTATGGGACACTACCTGTCAAAAAGTTTGATGGATTGTAGCCCCGCCCCTAAGGCGGGACTTCCGGTCTAAGCCCCGCCCCTTTTATATAAACTTTATAGTTCCGGTAATTAGATTCTTATCGTTTTATATAAACTTTATAGTTCCGGTAATTAGATTTTTATCGGTTTAATATAAAATAATAGTTCCGGTAATTAGATTTTTATCAGACTAATTAAATTATTGATTCCGGTAATTAAATTCTAATCAAACTGAAATAAAATTAATATTATAATAATAACGGAAATTAAATTGATGGTATTAAAATCATTATTTAATATTTTTAATTATTGGAGTAAATTATATTTATTATATTACATCAAATTATATTATATTAAGTTGTATAAAATTAATATTTTATTAAATAATATTATGTATTGTATTATATTATATCATATTAAATTATATAAAATTAAAATTTTATTAACTTAAATTATAATATATTATTATATTAATATTTATTAAATTTTATTATTTTATATTATATATCATTATTATTCTATTATACTATAGTATTACATTATTATATTATATCATTATATTATTATATTATATTATATTATATCATATTATATTATATTATATTATATTATATTATATTATAATTAATAAACTATTAACATGTAGTCAACTGTATCCATATATGTGTGTGTGTGTGTGTGTGTGTCCGTGTGCGTGCGTGTGTGTGTGTGTGTCTGTGTGTGCGTACGTGCCTGTGTGCGTGCGTGCGTGCGTGTGTGTGTGTGTGTGTGTGTGTCTGTGTGTGTGTGTGTGTGTGTGTGTGTGTGTGTGTGTGTGTGTGTGTGTGTGTGTGTGTGATAATAAGCCTACAGGGTGAAGAGTGAGAGGGGGGCCTCATGATCATTTTTCATTAAGGCTTAAAGCACTCAATAAATAAAATATACATCAGCTAATTTATTATTAATAGTATTAATATTAGTATTAATATTATTATTATTATTACTTTATAGTGTAACGTTTCACCATGATGTTCATTAGAAAGTAAGATAATTAACATGTGTTTTTATGTTTAAGTATTATTATTATTACTTTATAGTGTAGCGTTTCACCATGAAGTTCAATAGAAAGTAAGATAATTAACATGTGTTTTTATGTTTAACATATGTATAACATTAATATTATTGATTATTATATAATACAAACAATATAACATAACAATCAATCTGTAATATGATAATTAACATGTGGTTTTATGCTTAACATACTTATATCATTAATATTATTGTTTATTATATAATACAAACAATATAATATATAATATAATAAACAATCAATAAGTAATAAGATGATTAACATACGGTTTTGTGTTTATTAGGTATAACACTATTATTATTGAATACAATATAACATAAAGATCAAACGGTAATAAGATTAAAATTTGTTTTTGTTTAACATTTATATAACATATTTACACAAATAAATGTGTGTGTGTGTGTGTGTGTGTTTGTGTGTGTGTGTCTGTGTGTGTGTGTATACATATATATATATATATATATATATATATATATATATATATATATATATATATATATATATATATATTTATATACACAACTATTTTTGTTTTGAAAAACTAAAATAGGATATTCGATTTTAGTTGTATTACATATCAATGCACTTATAAATTTAAGGTCAAGAGTAATTTTCAATCATATTTGACAGTTCACTTAATAACACTATCAATCTTTATATGTTTAAACATTAATTAAATCATTTAAATCGTACTGAACAGTGATAGATACATTCCTAAAGTGTAATGTATAGTTTTAACGCGTTAAATTTTATACATGAAAAGATTCATATTTTGTTTCAATAACGTCTTATATTACAGGAATATTAAACTTTTTTAAAGAGTCTTGTAATTTTGATGCTAATATGAAATGTCACAAGTCACAACCCATGTATGGTTTACTCGATAAGAAAAAAGCGCGTTCGACTGTTGACTCGTCGCATATTGTTGTTTATGATAAATGTCTAGTATTTTTCCACGAAACAGGGTGTGTAACATATTACGAAAACATACAGAGTTCATACAAGGCTATCTAGCACCATCTATTGGTCACACTATGAAATATGTACTAGACATTCTTTATTATATTTTATTGTCGAAAATAATATATTTGTTGCTTAACGCGGTAACTTTGAAAGAAAAGTTGTGAATACAACGTTTTATTGTATTAACTTTTAACAAACAATTGTATACTAATTTAATCTTATGTATTATAAGTATTTTTAATATTGGTAATAACAGAGACTATGTTAATTATATATTATAAACGAAAATGTTAAAATATGAGATGTAAATATTCTATCACATCAACGAATTATTATTTTTTATCATTCATCCATTTATATAGAATATGAATACAAATGTAATACAACAATATTTATAATTTTTAAATTTTCATTCACACACACACACATATCTAAATAAAATATATGTTTTATTATAGTCTATCAAAACGATAGTTATCCTGAGTATGAAATAATGTATGGTATAAATTTTAAACAGTCAAAATATTGAAAGAGTTTTGTTTTTTATAATTATATCAAATATCTACACTAAAGCATTACACCAAGTTCATTTGTGTTTTTCACCAAGATTAAAGACATTACATGAATATTTTGTGTCGTTACGTTTTATCACTATCTATTAGATTGTATATAGTTTCATATAATAAAGTATAATATTGACGTGCTCAGGTTATTTAATTTTTTGGGTGCCCCCCTTATCGTTCCGAACCAGCTTTTAAACATACGACAACGCCTCTCGACATTTGACATAAAAAGGCCCCCTATACAGACCTTATTCACAGTAAACTTGAATCCGCAGTTACACTGTCATAACAAGTCGAACTTCTGAAGAGGGTCAACTCTGTCACTTTTGAAGAAGATATGGAATTGCGTGAGTAGAAATTGATATATTTTCATCTGCCTAGCGTTTTTTATACTGCCTCATTAACCAGTGTTTGATATATTTTCATTCTATCAGCTTATGTCTTACAGAAATAAATCCTTCCGAAAGTGAGGCATTTGATGCCATCAATCGTATTTGTAAGTATTATTCCATAATTATATTTATTGTTTTGAAGATATTTAGACAATAGTTTTTTATTTTATCATTATTGTTACTTACGTCTCTCTTTTTCTTATAGCCTCTTCGACTCACATGTTTGATAATCAAACGCAAAAAGGTATGCTTTTTATTTAAAATAAATTAAATTTTTTCTTGTTTAGTGGATTCGAACCGCCTGTTGCGACAAGGCTCGGTTACCGGTCGAATGCGCTATGCATAGGCCACAGCACTGACGGATGTGGGGTAACTATTGTTTACTGTAGGAATGAGTAATAACTTGTATTATTTATTTTTGTCATTCTCCTATTTTAGCGAAAATTGAAGTTATCGACTTGACGGTGGAAGAAGAAGAAGAAAAGATTGCGGGGCAACAAGAATCATTGCGAGAAGAAAAGTTTGATGCAGCGCCGGGGACTTCTGCCCCTAAGAGACCAAGAATTGTTTACACACCATATGTAAATAAAAGGCAAAAAATTTCTGAAACACCTGTGCAAGAAGAATACGATACCGATGAGGATGATGATGAAGACGCAGAATCAGGTAATAACCTATTTTTGTTTGTTTGTTTCAATCACTTAATAACAGGCGTAACGCTATTATTTTCATATTTTCACACACACAGATCCATGGACACCTCTTGCTAGCCCACTAAGTCCTTATGCCAGTCCATCAGAACCAAATCCTTCTGCTATTAATTTTAATTTATCTGAAGGTTAGTGTTCCATTTATTTAATTGATTATGACAATATAATGAGAATATAATAAACATAATTACTGTTGAATGAAAACAAATGAATATTATTTTATTGTTAAGTATTATTTATCGTTCAATACTAAACAATATTTTGATTTCATTTTATTACAGATCCATGGTGCGAACAAGGTGCTTCCAACAGCGGTCATCATGAATCAACTCAGGGAGGCGCACATCAGCCGATTTATCCCTTTCAAGCACCAGTAGAAGAAGAAGAAGAAGAAGAAGAAGAAGAAGACGCGGAAGACGTCGAAAGACCACAGCGCCCCCAGCAGAATCAGGAGGCCGGTAGCGTCAGCAAACAGAGGAATATCAAAGACTTTTACGAGTCGCCTGCTTATTGTCTGATTCGTGAATATCTAGACAGATATGAGGTAAAAATTAATGCTCTAGCGGATTCTATAGGCCAGCAGCAGCGTGTGATAGAAAATGTCAAGGATTTCTTGTCTGAGCAACAGCGACGTATGGATGAAAAAATTGGGGAGCTTCAACAATTGATGGGTAAAAGTGAACGGGGGCATCGGTTAATAACGAAACTACTCATTTTTATTAGGCATTCATTGATGGATGAATAATTCCTAAAATAAATATTCTCATCATCTGTACGATCATTCATCATTGTACTACTTAAAAGTCCATATTTTATACTCTGATAAATGCTATACTTGTCTTACGTTTCTAATTTTAATCGACTTTAGTTGTTTAGTGTTTTAACTTTAGATGTTGCTCTATATTCAATTTGTACTCCTTTGCCTTTCTTTTTATTACGAACGTAGTCATTTGTTTAGTGTTTGAGCTTTTAAAATTGATGTAATACAAATGTATTTTGATTCAACTTTACATTTTGATGTACTTTAAATTGATTTAACTTTTGATGTAATACAAAACCATTTTCAAGTTTTATTCTGCTTAACATTTTGATGTACTCCAAATTGCCTTAAATGTTTATCTGTTGATCTATATTAAATGTTTATTCAATTGTGATTGTTTTATTGTGAACTTACTCATTTGTTTAGTGTATGAGTTTAAATTTGATGTAATACCGTTGTATTTTAATTCAGTTTAACATTTTGATGAACTTTAAATTGACTCAGCTGTTTAGTGTTTTAACTTTTGCTGTTGATTTATATTAAATTTGTATTCCTTGGAGTTTGTTTTTATTGTGAACTTAGTGTTTGAACTTTTAAAATTGATGTAATAAAATATTTCATTGTGTTTTATTCCAGCTAATCATATACATTACTTCATAATTGTATTCCTATTATTGACACACATCCATTTCTAATAACATGGTTAAATATGTATAAATAAAGATTGAATTGTATAAACACAGCAAATATTAATCCTAAAATAAACAACAAATATAAATAAAATGAAAACTTAAGCAATCAAATAAACGATAAATGTAAATAAAACAATAAATAAAATACAGAAGAAAAAGTTAAACAATAAAATAAATCTAATAACAAAACAAAATAATTCTAAAATATCCAATAAAACTAATTTAAACATAAAAGTCTGAAATAAAATAAACATTAACAAAAATATTTGTAAAATAATAATAAAATAAATCAAAAATTACAATGGATGATGAAAATCGTACAGATGATACATACAATATTCAACCAGACCAAACTCTATCTGTTAGACTGCAAAGAGGTGTCGAAATGGATGCAGACAGAGATGAAGACATATTTGCATCTCTTCAGCATATGATAGATATGTATCCAAATTCCAGAGACATAACATTTAACAATATTCCTATTTCACAAATTACAAATCTGGATGATTTGGAAATGTATATAGAACAGGAATTGAATTTAAATTTGCCTGAAGATGTTGAATCTTTTTTAAACAGTGAACAGAGCGGTGGTGCAGTCACTCAGGAAACTAGTGCTTCTGCTAGTGTTAACAGCCAACTGACAGATGATGGTTTTGATGATGATGATGATGATGATGACGACGCCAGTCATTCAACTAGCCATGCAACACACGGTAGGACTGATATTGAATCAACACACCAGTCAAATGTCGATGATGAACAACCATCAACCTCAAATGTTGCGGAGCCTTTAAGGCATAGGCCAACAAGACAGATAGACATTGAAACATTGTTGAGAGATGGCGGTAATGTAAACGAATATCATGTTTTACCAAGACCTCGTTTCAATAGTGTATCGTTGCGTAGGACATTGAATATGAGTGAAATAAGATCTCAGGATTTAGGATCGTACCACATACGTTTACACGATACCATGGATGACATTGTGTCATTCGCTAGACAGATTGGCGGGGATGGTAGCGTCATCAATTTATGCCTTCGAACCCCCGCCCTGAAATCGGATGTAAATGCAGTTTTAACACCGGCTAATAAGTACGACGTTAATCTTTTTACAGATCAAATTGTAAAAATTTTGCAGAGCGATGATAAGTTATCAGCTAACGAAACTGTTGAACTTGAAGCAGAGGTTGTAATGAACCGACTAGGAGGAGCTCGTCGTAAACTTACTGATTTGGCGTTTGATCAGGTAATCAAAAGAAAAAAGACGAGCTTGTTTATACCTACAAATATTTCAAACAAATTGTGTTTCTCTATCTGTATAGCACATTTTCTAGAGCCTCAATTACCGGAGTGTGAATTAGAAAACCGTGCATCAATCATACACAATAAAGCGGGTCTTGCTATCCATGACAAGGTTGGTTTTCACGACATATCAAAATTTGAAAACATGCTAGACATCAAAATTGTTGTTTTTTATAGGACAAACACCGGTGTGTTACAAACATACGTAAATATCACCGAGCCTCACAACAAAACGGTGTTCCTTTATTTACAAGACGAACATTACTACATGATTCACAATTTGAAATCATTCATAGGTGCTAGGTATGTATGTGAATTCTGCTATAAAGGGTTCACAGACCGTAGGCATCATCAATGCAGACACGTCTGTAACGTCTGCTTCGACGGCGAATGTTACAAGCAACCTAAAAAAATCATTCATTGTAGCGATTGTCTGCGCTACTGCAAATCGTCTTACTGCTATGATGCACATAAGAAACCTGTGCTTCAAGGAGAAAAAGTACCTTGCGACGTTATAAAATACTGCAAGAAATGTAATAGGCGTTACGATAAGAAAAAGTCTAAACACATATGTGCACCAACCCGCTGTGGTGCATGTCGTGAAGAACTTGTACCGGGTGGAGAACATGAGTGTTTCATTAAGACAGTACCACTCAAAGACCCTCAGAATAAATACATCTTTTACGATTTCGAGACTCGTTATGAAAATGGGAGACACGTAGCAAATTTTGTCTGCGCAATAACGTTTTCTGGTGAAAGATTTGTAGCCGGGGGGTCTGAGTGTGTGAAAAAAATGATCGATCATTTCAGAAAACCCAAATACGAAGGCTATTGTTTCATAGCTCATAACGCATCCGGATTTGACTCCTTTCTAATTCTTGAATATTTTTGTAAAGCAGGTCTTCAAATGGACATCATCATGAAAGGTTGTAAATTAATCTTCATGTTCGATGTTTCATTTAAGCAACGCTATATAGATAGCATATCCTTCATACCGATGGCTCTGTCTAAGATGCCGGCAGCATTAAATCTCACCACAACAGAAAAAGGCTACTTTCCACATCATTTCAATAGATTAGAAAATGAGAACTACGTAGGACCTTATCCTGACAAAAAGTATTATGGTTACGAAAACCTATCAGAAAAAGATCAGGCAAAGTTCGATGCGTGGTACGCTACTACTTCAGGGGAGGTTTTCGACTTCAAGGAACAGTTGTGTCAATATGGTGTAAATGATGTTGTCTTGCTGCGTGAAGCATGCATGACATACAGAGAATCGTTCATAGAGTGTACACAAATCGATCCATTTAGTTACACAACTCTTCCTAGTTGTTGTATGGGAATTTTCAAGACACACTATCTGAAAGACCACACTATTGCTCTAACCCATGAAAATGCCTACATTCGTCAAAATAAGACATTCTCGAGTGTCTCGATTGAATGGTTGGAGTATTTAAAAAAGACTAGAAACGTTGACATTCATCATGCTCTGAATCATGGTGAAATGCAAATTGGTAAATACTTTTTAGACGGCTACTACGAACAGGGGGATTCAAGGTATGGCCTTGATTTTTTGGGGTGTCTATTTCATGCCCACCAATGCCGCTATGAGCCTCACAAACTCCACCCCATGTCGGGTGTACCCTTTGGTGTTCTCAGACGCCAAGTTGACGAAAAAATTGAAATTCTACAAAACGCTTATGGCTTGAAAGTAGAGATTATCTGGGAATGCGAATGGTCTAAAATGAAACAAACAGACCCTTCAGTGATAGAATTTATGAGCACTTATTCGGCACCTGAAAGACTGAAACCAAGAGATGCACTTTTCGGAGGTCGTACCAATGCTTATAAGTTGTATCACAAAGTGGGGGAGGGGGAGACCATTTCCTATCTGGATGTAACATCTCTCTATCCCTTTGTTATGAGTACAAAGACGTATCCAATAGGGCACCCCGAAATAATTTTCAACGACTTTCAGCCGATCGAAAATTATTACGGTCTTATTAAGGCAACTGTGTATCCGCCCCGAAAATTACTACATCCGGTCCTCCCTTACAGATGCGGCGGTAAACTCATGTTCCCGTTATGCAGAACATGCGCACACGATGAAAACCAAACATCGAGATGTAATCATACGGATGATGAGAGGGCACTTAGTGGGTGTTGGGTCAGTGTTGAACTTTTAAAAGCGATTGAGAAAGGGTATGTCGTGGTCAAAGTCGACGAAGTTTGGCATTTTCCTGAAAGGTCAGACAAGTTGTTTAGCGAATACGTTAAAACGTTTTTACGTTTAAAACAACAAGCATCCGGATACCCTTCAAACGTTACCACTGATTCTGAAAAAGAGACATACATCCGCAAATACTATGAGAGAGAGGGAATTCAACTTGACCCTTCACAGATCAGACGTAGCCCCGCCCAAAGAACTATAAACAAGCAGATTTTGAATACTCTGTGGGGACGTTTCGCAATGCAGTCTCGTCATTCTGTTACGCAACTTGTACGAGACCCTGAAGAATTCACCACGATTGTTTTCGGTAAAACTGATGCATTGAAATATTTTACCTTCATCTCAGATGATGTAGCGCTAGTGCAATTTCACCCTACCGAAGATAGTCATCGCATTATTCGTGACATTAACGTATTCGTAGGAGCGTACACTTCTGCCTGGGGGAGGTTAGAATTGTACAAATTGATGGACAAACTTGGCGATCGTTTATTATACTCTGACACAGATAGTGTTATTTTTGTATCCAAGGCCGGTGACTGGATGCCACCTCTGGGTGATTATTTGGGGGACTTGACAGATGAAATAGGCGATGGTGATTATATTACCGAGTTTTGTTCCAGCGGCCCAAAGTCATATGGTTACCGTACCGCTTCCGGTAAAGTCTGCATGAAAGCTAAGGGTATAACTCTGAATGCTAAAAATTCCCAAACGATAAGATTAGACACATTGATTGGTCTGGTTGATGGGTATGTTACATCAGGCGATGACTCTCGATACATTTTAGCTCAAGCTGACAACATTGTCAGGAATAAAAAACACCTCACACTCCACAACAAATCAGTCGTTAAAAAGTTCAAGGTGGTGTATAACAAGCGAAGACTTTTACCCGACTACACAACTCTGCCTTATGGCTTTTAATTCAGTGTATAGAGGAATGCGTGAAATGGTTGATTTTGATTTCAGACTTCAACATCCGTTTTCATGTGTCATAAGTGGACCATCCAATTCAGGGAAGTCCTTTTTTGTAAAAATGTTATTGGAAAATGCTGTAAATATGATTTCTAAAAAAATTGATAATGTTGTTTTTCTGTATGACTGTTGGCAACCTTTGTATGACGAATTGCTTAAATTGTATGACATTAAATTCATTGAAGGTATACCTCAGAGTCTGAATGATGATCATCTACTACCCCGTGATAAAACAAACTTGTTGATTATTGACGATATGATGAAAGAAGCAAGCGGTAATTCCGAAATTGAAAAAGTCTTCACGCAATACGTTCATCATCGTAATCTCTCTGCAATTCTTATCGTACAAAATTTGTTTGTTCAAGGTAAATCCAGCAGAACCATCAGTTTGAACACAAATTATTTAATATTGTTTAAAAACCCCCGCGATGCTAATCAAGTTGCGGTGTTGGGGCGTCAAATGTATCCTGGTAACACAAAATATTTTATGGAATGTTATCAAGATGCCGTCAAGAGTCCTTTCGGGTATCTCATGATCGACTATAAAGCTAAAACACCGGAACAATTTCGACTCAGAACA